CTGTCAGAACATAGGTCTTTAAAAAGATACGGTAGTTAAAGACCTGTGTTCTGATAGACGAGCACAATTCAAAACACACTGACGATGTCTTCTCAAATGGTGACAAAATGTTTGCAACCAAATTGCCAACCTACAGCCTAAACACCAACCTGAGCTACAGGACAGTGGCCACCAAATTCTTGATTCATTGTATAAGTTAGTTATGCAAACTCCTCCCAAGCAATATTTTTGACTGAACTGAAAGAAAATGCATGACATGTTTTCAGAAGCTGGGCAGGAGAAACTCTTTCTCATTTGGAATAACTGCTGGCTGTAAGCATTTCCAGGAGGAATACCTGCAATCAGTGTGAGGTGCAATTCTGTTGATGCCTGAGGACCATCACATTTCAGTGCGTTTTGTAACAAAGCCTTGCTGCCTTATATCCTTACTTATATCCTCCACTTTTCCTCGGAAGGCTAATTTGGCATGACTGGGCAACTGTTCCACACCTTTGATTTTGTTTGCATGACATGGCTGAATAAGGGAGGCTCCTTTAACCAAAACAGCCCTGAGCATGTTTTTAATGAAAACTGCTCTTAAGCAATCTTGCAGTTGACTGGCTATTGCATGACATCATGCCCCAGGTGTAACCAACTTAAGGATGTTACACAAATACAGCTAGTGCATAGGTACAATATACAGTGATGCGCAATTAATAACAGAAATGGGTTTCAAAAATTTGCTCACGCTTTAAAATAAAAAAGGTCAAAATTATGACTGCTTTTATTTGTAGGGAAGCAGGAAAGAAAGGAGGCAGGAGGTCAGGTGATCTCTGCATGACGGGAATTAAATATAGCCTCTGATTTGCTTCATTGTATGAGACATGTAATGCAATATCTTATTGTATTAATTTATTTGAGCAGAATATACCAGTTGGGTCAATATTAGTTACAAAAGTATGCATTCAGAATATTCTGTAGCAAATTTTTTAATGAAAAAATTATGTAACATTAAAATCTGATAAGTCTGGTTATATTTATCCTTCTCCCTTTCAAGTAGAATTAAATTAAAAGGCAGCTGTGCTTTCAGTATTTATGAAGGAAATGGAGAATTACAGAAAGTTCTGAGGGTAAAAAAAGTGAATGCCAAATAATTCATGGAAAAATAAATACCACTTAGCTTTTTATCAGAATATATTCCTTGTCTGCATGAAATAGAATCAAACTGCAAGCTTGTATCTAACTGATATAATTTCAGAGTTATTGCATGAAGAAAATGGACTGATTCTAAGGGTATAAGATAATAGGGTACAGGAAAGGGTATAGGAAAAGGCAATTTCCCCCCTGAGAGTAATTATGATTAAATGTGAATGTATTTATTTCTCCCACAATGATTTCTTTACTGACTCAGCTGGTTTTCATAATGGCTTAAAACCCGCAAAATGTTTTTATTATCAATATAGTTGAGAGAAAAGTAATTGGAAATAATGAATTTCTTTTTAAAATCAATAATACCTGAAGTCTTTGGATTTATGACAGGACTGAATTTAGATGGTTTAAAATAAAAATAATTTTTGTTGGCAAGATTTTTCTAACATACGCAATATTAAAAACTGGATTTGTTTTGTATTTTTATATTGTATTTTAACTGTCATAAGCTCAAAGTCATATATTTAACATAGGCATATATTTAACAAAGCCATATATTTAAAATAGGTATAAATGGAATAATACAATTATAGTTATTCTTTCTGCCATTCTTCTGGAGAAAGTATTAGAAAAAGCAACCAAAAATTATTGAAGGGCTGGAATAACTGCCCAAAAAGGAAGGAACTGAATCTTTGAGAGTATGTGGTTCAGAAAAGTTATCAATAAAAGGAAAATTAAGAAAGTGAATAAGGAGAATTCCATCTCCTCCTTCCCAATTTTAGATTCTGATACCTTCTAGCAAAGCAGAAAAAGATGTAACTGAAAACAGAAAAGAGGAAAATTTTCCTTCTAGCCAAGCACACGTTCTGGAAACTTGCATTCCTGTTCTATCAAGTTCTTTGTTTGTAGCAACCACAAAGATTTTCTCCAAGATGATTTACCCCTAACTTGTCCTTTCAAGTCTTCCAATAGTGCAGCCATCACCTCCGTAATCAAGTCTATCTCTACAAATGTTTGGCAACCATATAGAAGAGAGGAATTTTTTTACTTCCCTGCATTGTTTGTTGCCTTGAAATGCCTGGTGATCTCCCTCCAAGTAGAATAATGCTTGACCCTACTTAATACTATGTAGAATGAATGGTTACAACATACTATGATGGTTACCAGTTTTAAAAGATTGGGCAAATGTATGAAGGATAATATTATAATAGCTAGTTAGTCATAATAGCTATATATTATTTCCGGTTTCTCAGTATCTATTTCTGGCAAAGGAAACTAAGGTGTGTGCCATCACATTCTCCTGATATAAGGTATACAGGTTATCTGGTTGCTCATCTTGAAAGCAGTATGTTAAGCAAGTTGGTGCAGCTAAGCAGACACACACACATATTCTTAACTCGCAAAATGCCTTTCTTGTTCCACAAAAACAAGACTCTCAGTAGCTTCTTTGTGACTTTTTTGAGATCTTCTGGGTTTGATGTATCACAGTTCACACTAAATCTTAGAGTGATGGAACTGTCTTGGTTCTGGATTCAGAGCACCCAGAAAGGAACTTGAAGAAGAATTTGTAAAGAAAGCGTATCACTGAATGAACTACTCAGTCGTACTATGCTTCTCCTATGACTCTTTAATTCAAACAACTAGGACAGCTCTTTCCCACAAGACTCGAGAATGTTGTTCTGCCTTAATATTACTAACTGTTATACAGGTGGTCCTCAACTTACACCATTCACTTACCGATAATTCAAAGTTACGACAGCACTGAAAAAAGTGACTTATGACCGTTTTTCACACTTACGAGCATTGCAGCACCCCCACAGTCACATGATCAAAATTCAGACACTTGGCAACTGACTCATACTTATGACAGTTGCCATGTCCTGAGGTCACATGATGCCCTTTTGTGATGTTCTTATAAGCAAAGTTCAATGGAGAAACCAGATTCACTTACCAACTCACCAACTGCAGTGATTCACTTAACAATTGTGGGCAAGAAAGGTCATAAAATGGGGCAAATTTACTTAAATGTTTCACTTAGCTACAGAAATGTTGGTCACAATTATGGTTTGTAAATCAAGGACTACCTGTACTATATAAAAGAATGATTTAAAATATTGCTTTGAGTAATAATAGCATACTTCTTTTTGCTCTTTCTTTTTTTTAGGTGACAATGTTGAAAGTGACTTTTAACCCCAACCCAATGAATCAATGCAGAGAATCCTGT